AATTGTTATAATTTTTGGGACAGAAAATTCGGAAATTTTTTCCTCTCCATCTTAGATTCGGCAGTATGCGAGGCTCGCCCGTTCGGTCGGCAAGCATTAGGTTGGTCATTGCGTGTTCAAGATCATCGCGATGATACTGTGTGGCGCGAGGGCGTTGTGGTTGAGTATAGTTCCACGAGAGATTGGTAAGCAATATGGAGGAGAGAGTATGCACATGATCAACTACATGTGTTGGTGAAAACTCGGGGAGGAAATTTTTGTTGTTTTTTTTGCGAATTTTCATCAACAGTGTTGGCAAATTTGCACATGGTCAACTACATGTGTCGGTGACAGTATGAAAAATCTGAGAAAATTTGGGGAAATTATCACGGAATTTTCGGTGTGATTACGGTGCGAACCAAAGAGTTATGCGTATGTTTAGATTTTCGAGATGGTTTTATTCAATTTGATGGTATGGTTATAGACTACGTAACGCTTATAAAACGTTGGTGTCATCAATCGATTCACATTGTTATCATGTTGATATTACTCAAAGTTGACTTTCGACAAACTCCCTAAAATTGAAAATATTTTGTTATTGCTTAACTCCATGGAGATGTGAAATGCCCGGTTGAATTCACATGAAGTTTCTGACAAGAACAATTCGCCAACACTGTTGATGAAAATTCGTAAAAAACAACAAAAATTTCCTCCCAGTTTTCATCCTATCACCACCAACACATGTAGGTGACCATGTGCATATTATCTCCTCCATATTGGTTACCAGTCTCTCGTGGAGCTATACTCAACCACAACGCCCTTTTCCTATTTTTCTATCAGTTATCGTATCCTGTATTCGAGTCCGGAGATGCAGTCTATGACTCGACTCGAATCGTTGCAACTGGGCTTGGACATGCATGAGCGCCCAGATGGTGAGGAAGAATTTCCTCCAACATTTTGGGAATCCGAATCACATACTAGTGAATATCGGATTCGTCGCGGAGGGTATGTGAAGAACATGGCGAGATTTGAATGGTTGAGAGGTCCTGAAAATGGTGGGCAAGAACAGCGGAGCGAAGCTGAGCGGGAGAAGTGCTCGAGGAGTGGTATGATATTGAATTATGCAAATGGGGAAGTATTCAGTGATGGTCTTAGCTGGAAGGCGATAGTGAGGCATCTGTCTACTGAGGTGAGTTGTTGTTTGAATATGTGATAAGTATTAGGATTGAATATATTGGAGTTTAACCACCCTAGTGATATGAAAAACACTAGTGAAAAACATATTTCACAACTACTGCGTATCACCGTGAATATCACGTTTTTCGCACAGTATTACACCACTTCACGTAGAACGGGTCGTGAAACTGCAGTGATGAACTATCAAACTATGATAAATTATCACTAGGATCATGTCCCCTTGAAGTTATAGCCGTTCTCAGTTGAGAAAAAAATTTGCATATCAAATTGATTCTCAGTGAATAACGCGTTGTTTATATTCCTGGAAGCTCTTTCGTAGGTCCCGACTACTCCTGTGTTGGCTTTGCGTGATCACGACGATGAGGTTCTCTACGCTGAGTTCAGTCCGTGTGGGAAATTCGTTGCAACAGCAAGTCGGGACGGATCATGTGATGAGAAAAATGCAACATGCAGGGATCGAACCCGATACCTCTCTCAGGCGCTGTTTATGCGCTGTTCGATCCCCTCACGGACGATCCAGCCGATATTGATTTCGATCGAACAGTATGTTATGACTTCCTGGACTTATCACAGTCGTCTCCCGGGTTACCGCAAGTGATGATGGACACTTCTACTTGGAGTTGGGCTCGGGACCGATCGATGGCCACTCGAATGCTATGTAAGAATCTTCCTTTTTCTGCGAAATCTATCAGTGATTCAGGTCGATTACATTGCGGATCTGCGATGCAGACCCGCGGGGCCTCTCAGGACTCCACGGAGAAGCTTTACCCCGGCCGAATCACATGGGCGCCAGATTCAAGTTCGCTGTTGATTGCCTCGACTGGACCTGGCTTCTGGGTCGACTTGAAAGCCTTGCTGGTGGGCCGTGGACCACCGAGACTTATCAGTGTAGTTCCGCAAGTAAGTGGCGATCGCTTGTCGTGCTTGATGGTATTGATATATGCTCAGTGTTGGTGTAGGAGTATATGTAATCGCTTTCCTCAGCACCTGAGCTCAGGAGTTTCCTATACAGTGTTGGAGTAGGAATATATGTAATCGCTTTCCTCACCTGAGCTCAGGAGTTTCATATACAGTGTTGGAGTAGGAATATATCTAATCGCTTTCCTCACCTGAGCTCAGGAGTTTCATATACAGTGTTGGAGTAGAAATGTATGTTTGCTTTCCTCGCCTGAGCCCAGGAGTTTCCTCACTAGTTATAGAAGTTTATACACGAATTAGGGTAGAAACGTACAGGAATCAGTGAAAATTTCCGAAATGTTTTCATCAACATATCGATTAACCATGTGTATATTCTCCTGCACTAATCAGGCCCTTGGAGACGTGTACGGCGGTTTTATGTTTTATCCGCCTCGTGATGGTAATTGTGGCATCAACGTTGAGGATTTCGAAGGAAGAATTCCCCTAGATGATCGACTGTGTATAGTGTCGAGTAAGCCCTCTTGGGAGGAAGGGTTGATGAGCTTTGTTCTATGGTGGTGTTGGACTGGTGGGAAATTATGCATACGATCAGCTACATGTGTTGGTGAGAATATGAAAATTCCGAGGAACTTGGGGAAAATTCTGTAATCATTTTCACCCGAATTTGAATGTAAACTTTTGTAATTATTGAGGAAAATCTTCTTAGCTCAGCTGAGGAAAGCGATTACATATATTTCCTCACCGTGATATGAAAAAAACTAGTGAAAAACATATTTCACGTTTCACTTGGCGAAAAACGCATGTGAGCAGTGAAGAATGCGTCGAATACGTGATGTGTTTCTCATATGATATGGCGCCATCCTTCCGGTGTTTGGAGGCTACCTTACCGATCAATTCAATTCAATTCAAACTGTTAATTAACGAGTCACACGCTGCATCTGAGCGCATCACTCATCTATAACGATCGTATACTGAACAGTCTCTTTAAATTGAGACTACTCCTCAGGTAGCCGTATAGTGCCAGCGATCGATCGTGAGACTGGTGTTGCGAGTCTTACCCAACGCTTTGAGATTCACGCCAGAGGAGCTACTGAGCTAACAGCGAGGTCTTCGTCGTCGCCGGCCGCTGTCTTTGACGTCAATCTCGGTCGACAAGCTTTGATAAGAGCGATATCAGGTGAGAGTTTAGATATCTCGGGGTAGTTTTGGTGAAATATGTGCTCGCTTTCCTCAGCTGGGCTCAAGAGTTTATTCGCGTAGTATAGGAGTTCTCATGCGAACTCGGATGGAAGTCAATGAAAATCTCCGAAAAATTTCCTCCCAGAATCTTCATATCGTCACCAACAACACGCGTAGTTGATCGGGTGCATATTTTTCCTCACTGTTTTAGGGTTGTGCTAATAAGATGCATAATAGGTTTGCATAGGGTTTCGTTTCTTGTCAGTTGATGCTGAGCGGGAGCTCATGGTTGGTCTCACCGGAACTAAACTGACCATTATGGATCAAGTTGTCCTAATCGACCTCAAACATGGCATGTCCATAAGCGAACCATTACCGAAAAGTAAGCACATTGGAGTTTTACCTGTGATATGGAAAATACATTTCACTTCACGGAAACAATTGTGTTATCGGTCGTGGAAACATATGTCATATAATTTACATGGGGTAATACGCCATTTCACGTTAAACGGGTGAAACTCCAATGTACTGGTGATTTATCACATGATATGCAGGTACGCGGTTTCCTGTGAGACTGTCTTCTCCCGCAGTGAAAATAATAGATTTCTCTCATAGTGCATGTAAGTGATCTTCATACCGTAACTTGCTCAACTCGTGTTCAGGTTGTTTAGCATGTCGACTTACTCCTTCTGGCCAGGGACTGCTCATCAACTTGAGAAAATTTGCCAACCAAGATTTGACCGAGCGTTTTTATGAGGACCCATCGGCACTACCAAGCTTAGCACCAGACCTTGACATAAACATGGAAGCAGTGCTCCTACCCGTTTCACTTGACAACGATGGTCCCGCTAGTGTAGATCGTCAAGGAGTTATTGTGATGAAAGGGCATCATGCGTATACTACTAAGAGTAGTCCTTTTATGATAATGCCTGATGGTAAGTGATGTTTGTGACGAAGATTAAGATGTGTGTTCAGGCGTGTTGGGATCGAGAGAAGTCGTTTCGAGTGGTGGTGAAGACGGCAATGTGTATACTTGGAGTCTTACTGGTAGCTTCAGTGAAGCCCCTCTGGTGTGGGTCGGCCGGTCGGCCCATCATGACACTGTGAACCTCGTGAATTACTGTCCGCACAAGCATGGTGTTATACTCAGCAGCTCCGATGACAATAGTGTGGTAATCTGGCTCAGCGATCAGCGCTTTTATCATGCCAAGACTTACAGTAGAGACAGTTGTGTACCTGATTACCAGAATTTTCAACTGTATAGGTTACATCTTGCTTTAAACATTAATTCGGGGAGTATTCGTAGGAGAGAATATGCTGAACTTGGCGTTGTTTTTGAGCGGAGCGATGCAGAAAAGTCAACGAACTGGATTTGTTTTGTAGAAAACCTTATCGAGAACTTCTGCTTCATTCTCACCACATTCCAACAAAGTTGCCCAGTGGGCAGTTCTGATAGTTCAGCATGATAGCTAAGAACAAACTATAAGCAATCGTTCAATAATTGTCTTTGGTAGTAAGCATTCCTGCTGTCACTCACGGTCGCGGCAAAAAGGCTTGTGGCCTCGAAGTTATAGGTTGATACAAGCGGATACCCCCTGGCCGGACTGACAAGGATGCTCCCAACTGAGGCATCAGCATATCATGTACACACTGAATTGGGAAGTAAAATGATATCGATCAACTTGGTATCATCTCTGCGCAATAACCGAACGTCGTGTCCCTCATGAGAAAGCTATTATGTTTGAAGTTATTATAATAACCATGTCGTTCTCGCCGGTATTGAATCGAGTCACCAACGGCAGTCTGAAATCTGACGCGCGCTTCATCAGAGTATACCGGAACTTTCGCCACACTGTATTCTTCACAAGCTCAGATGAGTCTACTGGGAAGAAGAGGCTCTGGTATTACACCAGGTGAGAAAGTGTGTTTGTGTATATCCAGTGTGCGGAAAGGATGCACACGGTCAACTTTGTGTCGTGATGCCGATGAGGCACGAGGATTTTGTGCGATTGGTTTCTGTAGTTCTACCTTCGTGTGAAATTTTCCAATATAGCGAGGCAACTCCTGGCCCAGGATTCCTGGGCTTATCTGATGCATTCATTCGATAGAGAAGGTTCTCATTCTTCACTCGTGACTCTACACATCACGAACGCGATATCTAGAGCCGATTGGTTGAGTTGGACCAACCCTATGCTCGGGAGACCTCGAAGACTCGCAGCTGCGATTCAATCGGTCTATCTGGTATGAGGCGAGTTCACTGATATAGGATTCCTGGGCTTATCTGATGCATTCATTCGATAGAGAAGGTTCTCATTCTTCACTCGTGACTCTACACATCACGAACGCGATATCTAGAGCCGATTGGTTGAGTTGGACCAACCCTATGCTCGGGAGACCTCGAAGACTCGCAGCTGCGATTCAATCGGTCTATCTGGTATGAGGCGAGTTCACTGATATTAATTCCTCTACGCAACAAGATTGTCATATCTGAGATATCACTGGTGACCCGCTCGAGGAGATCTTTGCTGCTTCAAAAGGCTTCTGACAGAAGCACTCAGTGAAGCTACGTCTGGGTCTGTGTCAACTACCCGGCGGTTACCATCGCCATCAGAACAGTAAAGGAGCTGCTACCATTCGTTGGAGCCCTATGTTATTGGCTAATCTTGGGAGGACTCAACTTGAAGCTATTGTTACTGTACGGAATATTCCTAATCCGGGTGGATCGTACGACAGGACCTGTCAGGTCCTGTCGTACGACCTGTCGGACAGGTCAACAAGAGTGGTTCTGCATGACCTGGTGCCTCTGCTGACGAGCACATATTCACTCGGCGGGGACGACGGTGTAGCTCTGTGCGAAACGTTCCCGTCGGGAGCCTCATGACCCTCCCACTCGCACCTTCAGTACCTTGTCACCATATCCAGCCACGACGAAGGCATCCCTCACCGAAGCAGAGCCAAACAAGGAACTCCAGCGTATCATGGGCCCCGTATTTGATGACTATCGGAGGTCTCATCGCCGGCTCTTCCTCGATGATAATGGTGGGACTAACAAGTGAACCTCAACGGAGGTAACCTCTTTTGCATTTATCACTGATTAAATGAGCTGTGTTGATCCAGTCATCGAATTGTATTGGTTTTATCAATCTGTATCGCGCAACCCCCCGGGCAAAATTCAGCGAGGCAGTTTCTTGTAGGGGGACTATCCAGTGGATAGTATGCACCTGTAAGTACCGCCGTGATCTGGAGGTACCACGGTGGGTCTTGAAGGTATCCCGATCTTCTACGGGTCCCAGGAAGCATCGTTGCTTGCGAGGAAACTGAATACGGAACTCGTAACCATAGGAGTCTCGTATCTACAGAAAATAAGGAATTTTAATTTTCAAGAGTGCGATACCTTCCGTTCAGTGTTGTCATCGAAGGTACTTGAGGAAGATCCTGAACGATGGAAAGCCATTATCAGAGGCAGTCATATGGCTTCGGTACGAGGATAAGAACATGCAAGATGCCTATATGTTTGGTAAGTACCGAGCACTGCGGGGAGATCGTCCTTATAGAGGTTTATGACAAATTTGTTGGTAGACTCAACGATGTTGAGTTGCTATTAGCAAATTGCTAAAATTTACGGGTAATTGCAACAATCATATCATACGATTCATGGGATGAAGAACTTGCTAGGTGGAAGTTCCACCGTGGTACCAGAATTTCGGAAAAATTCCGAGATAACCGCGATAAACGACCTAAAATATTCGCAAGAGTCTTGGATGGGGAGAGTCGAAAGAAGGAAACTACAGTGCTTCCTCTGTACATGTCCTGGACACGATGTCCATGAGGAATACTATCACTAAAATAGCATTCTGAGCATACTGTTCTCTTTAGACAGAAGAGACTTGAGACATTGGGACGCTGCACGAGACATCTGTGTCGTCTCAATGAGAATCCACAGAATCAGCATTATCGCCTCGAGAACCATCCAATCAACTTGATTGACCCAATGCTTGATGAAATGAAGCACAGACTGGACAATACCGGATGCTCGAACTGCTAGCAAACTTGCGAACTCAACAAAGCGGATGAGGATAAAACTTAACTACTTTCGAATTCATTAAAATATCGATTGAGGTTCATTGTCTACCAGGAGGTAAGACGAACAATTGATGTGAAATGGAACTCTCTACGAGATTCTTGTGGCTTCATGGTGTGGGAGTCAACACCATGGCAGCGCACGCGGCGTAGCATACTCCCTAAGCAGCATTACAAGCCAGGATACACGCAGGAGTGGCCGCTCCGGCGGTAACTGTACCTAAAGTAGGGGGAATTCGAGCCGGCAGCATACTACAGAAGGTCATGCAGAGGTACTACCAGCGACCACACCGCAAGCGGCGTTGCAGGAAACCCAGGCGGCAGCACAGCCAGCTTGGCAAATTCCATACGTGAGTAACCCCGCCTCGGCTAGGAAGGCGGTGAGCAAATAGAAGAAGATTAAACGTGATGACATGAGTCGCACAACAACGGACTGCAACGGAGAAGGACATATAATATTTCACGTATCACTATGTGTGAGGTAAACAATACATAACACACATTACAAGAGTACGATTTTTCGTAATACAGCGTAGCGGTTGCGCTAAGGCTCAGAGTTTTTTGACCGCAAATCGCGCGCGTCGTCTCAGGGACTAGCGCCTACTGGTGCTGCAAATGATACTGTGGTATGTATGTACTGAGAGAGAAATTGCAACTTGAGACTTCCAAGAGCTTCTGTTCACATGGTCTCGTGGTGGCCTGATCATATCAGGCTGATATGGGTGCCTCACCAGTTGCACGCGCACAACTGATCTTTACCACGGGTTTCTCAGTCTATGGCGTGAGATACATGATCAATCTTGTTCAACGAGAAACATGTGCTTAAAGCACATGTAGGAAAGTTTGTTACATTGCTCGGTGAGACTGCTAACCTCGCTCAATTTCCGAGCGATGGTCGTTTGCTAATTCTGTGAACTTCAGATGTTCCCAGTCGTGATATCATCTAAAACTAGAGACTTCACAGGGGCCAATGATTTCGGAACTATTCCATCTGAGAAATAACGAAGAAAGTCGCGATCGTTGATCATTGAAGCATCTTGCTACAGCATCTTTTACATCTCATGGTGTCAGTCGTCCGTTCGGTTCCAATACTGAGCTTTCCGCTCGGAGTAACATCACACGAGCCATCAGTGATGGAGACTCAATCATCACTCCGCTGCCTGTATGGCGTCCAGTAACGTGATCCTAGGATGATCCTTGTAGTATGAGTCGTCGTATGATACCGTCCATTCCTAGGCTGGGCCCCAGCCGCTGGGGATCCCAGCGCTAGAAGGTGCGTATCCAACTCGGATAATCCAAGGGCATCTCGTATTACGAGGTGACTCGGAAAAAAATTACTTGTCAAGTTGCACTGCTTAGGGTGATATAAATTTACGAGCTCCTTGTCCTTGAGTTTCTTGAAGGTCTACTCCTCTGGAATGAGCCCCGAACTGGGATGACTGACGACTTCCATGAGTATATGAAAGTAGAGAGATTGAACGTCATTATGGCGTGCTGATGTCGTCAGCCTGATGAGCACCTGTGATATGTGTGTGTATACTGTATCTCAATCAGGAACGACATGCATTACTTACAATACCCTTCGCAGTTCGGTCATAGGCCGGATGTACATCTCGGCCATCTCACCTATTGCTGATTTCTCAACGGAAACATAAGGTGCTTAATTCTGTAACAGACTGTTACAGCAATACTGTTACTAGCAGTACTCGACGGTGTTCGAAGCAACTATGAGTCAGAGAATACGTGATCTTCCCGGACTGTAGTGAATTCCCAGTAAGACCTGTAGCGAGTTGACAATCAGTGTCCGTTGATTGCGATCCGCCGATTTCATGATGAGAACTATTAGTCTCGCAGCGAGACTCTCGCTGACAGCAACTTCACGCTGTTATCGTCTCAAAGGTTGAAGGCTTGTAGGCGGCCAACCATCCGAGCCAGTTTAGATCCGAAGGTGAGCGTTGAATACAGCTTGGATTGAAAACATGTCCTTGGATGGAGCCTCCATCATGGAGGTAACTTTCTCTGGAACTCAAATCCAGTAAGAGACAACAGAACATCTCGACAAATGTGGAGCTGCACACCAACCGGGCGAGACCCGCATTAACCCCAAGATTCAGTCGAATGTGGTCAAATATTTATCGATGACTGTTCGGACAAAAACGTCAGCGATCGGCGTTCCTTCCCTCGCAGCTCCACCAACTGCCTCTTGGTACTCGGGATCGAGACGCCACCAACTCGAATGAATGGTTTCGATGTATTTGTCACAATCGATATAGTGGGGGAAAGGAAACTCGGCCTGCGGCAGTTGTCTGATCCTGAAGACGATCCTCCAAGTCGAAAAAAAGGAGAAATACGTTAAGTTACTTTCGAAGCACACCCTCTGAGTAGAAATTTATGATCGTGGATCTGTCGGAATTGTCGGACTGTCGGAAATACACCACACGAGTCTCGCTGTCAACCTTGCCTTCCACCGAGCACCAACGCCTGAATCGGCAAATCTACGTTTTTCCTCGGGATCGATACCCAAGAGTCTTGCGTACCTGTATTCGATCAAATCACCCGGAGGGTCCTCAGTTCCCACTCTATCGGCCTGAATAAGTTGGGTGTACATTCAGAACTTGCTGTGATGTCCACCATGGCCTACCTCAACTTCCGGGATAGTTCTAGGCTCACTCAGAAGCGACTGTCCATAAGGCGTGCTCCCACGGCTTAAACGAGCCTCAACATGGAGTAACCCCAGTAGAGAAGCAACGAAGAGAATACGCAATAGCATGTGACAAATAATACTGCCAGGGATACCCAGTAATATAAATATCTTCTCCCACATCCTACATCGACATCGACCGTAGTTCACCTTCGGGCTTTATTGCTAGCCGCTAGCCGCACGAAACTCGTGCCACGAGACGAGACAATGTTATGAGGTGTTTTGCCTTAAGACCCGTCTCCTTTTTACCATCGTTCTTTCACCCTGCGACAATCCCAACATAGCACTGTATCGCGTTACTGAGTCATAACAATACTGGGCTTGCCGCTTAGAATAATGATGCAAAAGCCACCAGTGACGGAGATTCTATCATCGCCTCACTTAGCGAAGTTCACTGTCTCTAAGGAGTCCAGTAACGTGCGATCGTGGTATTATGGGTCGTCGTACTATAATAGCATCTGAGTCGACTGATCCAGCCATAATGATATCAATTTCTAAGCCAATAGTTCAAGCGCTAAAAGCTGCATAACGGAGGACAACTCGTATTACGAGGTGACTCGAAAAAATCACTTCCCTCCTACGTTACACTGCTTAGGGCAAAATAGATATAGGAACTCCTCGCCATTGAGCTCCTTACAGGTCCCATATGATTCTGAGCATAGATTGACGCCTATGCTGAATGAGTTGTACGGTACAACTCATTCGGTAACACCGAATCGGTATAGATGCATCTGGGTACAGGTACAACTTGTACCTGAACAGTCCCTGATAGTCTGTTATCGGAGAGCAACCCTGACAGACGAAATTTTCTGACTAATTCAATCCCCAATCCGTTTATACTTGATATTACCCGGCCTCAGAAGTATCTGAGTCGGATTTTATCCCTTGCTGATCTGATTCAGTCTCCATCAGGCAAGTCTCAATAAAGATTATCGCGTGCTTAGCTTCCGCATGAACTTCTTTTTGAGTTAATGTATAGAGGAATTAACGGTGGGAACGATACGGTAATACTTCATGGTACTACTGATACCTCTCAGTGGAGTATCATGGGCGTCTGAGAGGCCGCCTCTCTGGACATTCATCATGAATGGTTCATAGCGGTGGGCCTCCATGCAGAGTGCTCCCCATCGATACGCTGCAATGTTCGCATGCGTTGCGCAATCACACTTCGCTGGTCTCATGATCGAAGAAATAAATCTCGCTGATAAGTTTATCAGTTTCGTCGTGTTATTTGATGCAAAGTGTTATCGACGACCAATCATCCGACTCGGATGATAAGTCGTCCATAGCCGGTCTATCTCGGATGCTCCGAGACAATTAGGATGATGGGGTGGGCGTGGAATACAGGCAAAAGCTCAGAATGCAAACCTATCTTTGAAAGTGACTTTCTCTAGAACTCAAATCCAACGAGAGACAACAGGAACATCTCAACAACTACGGGGCTTCCCAACAACCATGCCCTGCATTAACTGTATTCTCAGCCGAATGTGGTGACATATTTATCGAAGATGGTTCGGACAAAAACGTCAGCGATCGGCGCTCCTTCCCTCACAGCTTCAATAACTGCATATCGGTAATCTGGCTCGAGGAGCCAGCAAGCCCGATGAATGGTCTCGATGTAGTTGCCACAATCGATTATGTGGGGGAAGGGAAAAAGATCCTGTGACAGTTGTCTGATCCTGAGGACGATCCTACAAGCCGAAAAAAGGAGAAATACGTTAAGCTACTTTCGGAGCACACCCTCTGAGTAAAGGTTTATGATCGTGGATCTGTCGGAATCGGCGGATTGTCGGAAATACACCACACGAGTCTCGCCGTCAACCTTGCCTTCCACCGAGCACCAACGCCTGAATCGGCAGATCTATGTTTTTCCTCTAAATCGATGCCCAGGAGTCTTGCATACCTATTCGGAGTCAGAACACCCGGGGGGTCCTCAGTTCCCACTCTGTTGGGCTGAATGAGTCGGATCATTTGGAACCCATTATGATGACCTACCTCTACTTTCGGGACCCTTTCGCGGTTGCTCAGATGCGACTGTTCCAGAGGCGTGTTCCCACGACTCAGACGGGTCTCGACATGGAAAGACCCCAGTAGAGAGGCAACAGAGAGAATACGCAATAGCATGTGACAAATAATACTACCGTACATACCCGGTATGTAGATGTAGATGATACCACTCATTTTACACATCCTACATCGACATCTACAAATTTTCCGAACTAAATATAACTGCTCAGCGTCTTCTGTCCGTAGTCATCTTCGAGCACACGCAGTTCACCTTTATTGCTACTCGCTCGCCACACGAGACGAGACATGATGTTTGCTTGAGTCCCGTCTCTTTTTTACCATCGCCTCTTACTCTGCTACTTTTTGTGGCCGACAGTTACTAACATCTCGCTGTATCGCGTTACTGAGTCATAACAATACTGAGCTTTCCGCTTGGACTAATACCACACAAGCCATCAGTGACGGAGATTCTATCATCACTTCGCCGCCTCTATAGAGTTAACTTGACTCAGTCAAGAATCTCAGAGCGATCGTTGTATTATGAGTCGTCGTGCTATGATACCGTTTGACTGTGATGATATTAATTCCTAGGCTTGGAATTACAGCGCTACAAGCTGCGTATCCGATGAAGCCTCGTATTACGAGGTGACTCGGAGAAGTTCAATTTCTCGCTCTGTTATACTGTACAGGGTGGAATAGATGTAGGGACTCCGAGCCCTTGAGTTCCTCGAAGGTCTATTCTTCTGAGATAAGCACCGGATCGGGACAACGGACACCCTCCATGAGTATATAAGACTAAAGACATTGAATTTCAAACAACCGTGATTATGGCGGACTGATATGCACATGTGATATTTGTGTGTATAGTATACACACTATACTCTCTACGATCGTGTCCGTCAAACAGTGTCGGATGATCGCATGGTATGTCTCAATCAGTAACGGCACTCTCATTATTAAGGCTTCTAAGTCGGTCACAACTCGGATGTACATCTCAGCTTTCTCACCTTTGGCCTGATTCCTCAACGGAACCATAGGGTGACTAATTCTGTATCACTATCAGACCGTGCTCAAAGCAATTCTGAGCCAAAGAATTTGTGAACTCCCGGCCTGTAGTAAATTCAAAGTGAGACATGTACTGAGCCGACAGTCACTGACTATCAGTTGCAATCCGCCGATTCCATAATCGACGAAATCAATCTCGCTGATAATGATAACAAGTTCGCGGTGTTAGTGGATTAAAGGGTTATAGGCAGCCAAGCAACCGGGACAGTTAAGATTATGGGGGTGGGCGTGGAATACAGGCAAAAGCTTGGAATGAAAACATATCTTGGGAGGTGACTTCCTCTACAACTCAAAGCCCATGAGAGACCACAGAACATCTCAACAAATGTAGGGTTGCCTACCAACCATGCGAGACCCATTCAATCCAAGATTCAGTCGAGTGTAGTCAAATATTTATCGAAGACTCTTCGGACAAAAACATCAGCGATCGGTGTCCTTCTCCTCGCAGCTTCACCAACTGCATCTCGGTACACTCGAAGGAAAATCAACCAGAACAAATGAATGGCGCCGATGTATTTGTCACAATCGAGTAAGTGATGGAAAGGGAACTCGGCCCATGACAGTTGCCTGACCCTAAGGACGACTCTCTAAGTCGAAAAAGAGGAGAAACGTATCAAGTTACCCTCGAAGTACACTCCGTGAGTAGAGGTTTATTATCGTGGAGTTGTTGGAATCGTCGGACTGTCGGAAATACACCACACGAGGCTCGCCGTCAACCTGGCCTTCCACCGAGCACCAACGCCTGAATTGGAAGGTTCTTCCAGGGGATCGATACCCAGGAGTCTCTCATACCTATTTGGAGTCAGAACACCCGGAGGGTCCTCAGTTCCCACTCTGTCGGGCTGAATGAGTCGGATCATTTGGAACCGATTATGATGCTCCCCATGGCCTACCTCTACTTCCGGGATAGTTGGACTATTCCGCGCTATGCTAGTTCTAGGCTTGCTCAGAAGCAATTGTCCATGAGGCGTGCCCCCACGACTCAAACGAGTCTCAACATGAAATATCCCCAGTAGAGAGGCAACAGAGAGAATACGCAATAGCATGTGACAAATAATACTGCCATGGATGCCCAGTAATTGGTAGATAATACCACTCCTTTCACACATCCTACATCAACATCTACAACGTATTAACATCTAGCACTACTCACGCTGCTCGCGACCGAGTCGTGAGCTGCACTCATACACGTCTCTCTTGTACGACCCTTCAACTCACTTCCAGGAGGAGAAGCGCTGAAGATAGAATTTTACGACTTTAAGAGGACCGAATAACGCGAGGAACACTAGCAGGATTAGGATGCGCATGATCGCAATACTAGAGGCAGCAAAATTGCAGCCCGTGATAGTATAGAGTAGATATCTGAACGCTAAATAAATGTCCACTCCTTGAGAGTTGCGCTGAAATGTAAAGGCTTGATTCTCATGACTGATATCGTTGCGACGCGTTGCTTTGTCTTTCGCTGAACAGTTTCTATGAGGCGGCCGACTATTGATGAACACAAAACACGAATCACACTTGATAAATTACCAACCTTGATTATAAAATTATGAATAACACATCACACTCGATCACTGATGTTCTTGACCAGTAAATTGCTGGTTAAGAACATGAGTGAACATCAAAAACATCAGGCATTTTGCGTTGAACAAAATGCCCTCCAAAGGGCCCTCCGAATAACATCTTTATTTTCATCCTTGTTCGGATCCGTGTCAGAGAAGTAATATTCGTCGGTCGAGCGTTCAGCATCATGAAGAGCCTGGACAAGCTCGCCACAGGTATAGGAAGGATTAGCGTAGTAACCCGTCACAACTTCTGGTCCGCTTCTGCTTCTAAAAGATCAGGCAACAGGGTGCGGAAGCACTATGCGTGTTAATACGAACAAATGAATCGGAAAAGAATTTCAGGTTATTCATGTTAATATCTGTATACTCACGAGTCACGAGATTTGAGCTTTCATGAAATAGTAAGGAAACCAAACATATGTTCCAACACTGCCGAGGAGATTCCTCAACAATGACGATGCACGACCTACGTCTCAGCATCCAAGCACTTGGTAGCAATCCTATTGTGCTCATTCGCATACACCTCCAACGTCAAGTCGTCGAAAGAAGCTGTGCACTTCCCGTTGACAACTTTAGCTTTGACCTGAATACAAGTACATCGCCTGTTACATTAAGCAGTGCTTGGCAAGCACTCCCTACAGGAGCTGGAGAAGAAGGTAGTTCCACAGATAAACTGCGGCGAAGATTAGGTCTCGCGTCACTGGCGATAGTAGTACCAATGGCCAGAAGACAAGCGACGATGCGCATCAAAGACAGTGAACTATCGAACTTCGAGGTAACAGAGTTCACGGTAGGAAAAAACCAGCACTCACGAGGGTTGAGTGGAAGCAGCAATCAGAATGGCCACTACTGGTTGATAAGGGAAATCTGGATAGTCAGCATCGACTGATGTTCATGAGAAGCTCTCGACAAGGGCATTCCTCCAACTGGAAATGATTTTGAGCAATGAGGGAAATGGAAATACTTCTCGGCCCGGAATGTCTCTTGGCTCGCCCAGATTTAAGCTTACATGGCGACATGCCCGGCTCGATCGTATTGCCCGAAGGGTTTTGAAAGCCCGGCTTCCCCAACTGAGCTCAGGGGTCTCACCACTGTGGTTCAAGGAGTTGCGCACAGCTCGCGCTTGGAGCGTATGAAAAGTTTTCATTGAAAACTAGTATGAAGTCACCGAAATTTTTAAACGTAGTATGCGATACGTCCGATTCGGACGTGACTACACTAATGCGTTACGGCTCCCAAACGAGGTCGCCTGTCCTACCATACCGAGTATTGGCAACACTACGCATCAGGATGCTGATAACCGCTGGGTGGGGCGTGACAGCTAGCAAGCTTCGGCCATCCTCTCGTCATCATCCATCGTCAACGCGGCTCTCCGTCGCCACTTCAGCTCCATTGGCGCCTACAATGACCACTCCAGACATCCTAAAAACCAGATCAGAGTTCATCCTCGCAGCATTACATGCTTCTCGGATGCTGGCACACGGAGACTCCGTGACGGAGTCTGCGTGCACCTCTGAGACATACCACTCGTCGGTCGGCATTTGTCTTGTGATTCGTAAATTCAACTTACGACTTTCAACTCTTCTTCCAGAATTGGAACTTCTGTTAGTCTCTTCCGACTACAAATATCAAACTCGGAATTCGAACTCGAACCCCTATGAAAAACTCCTTTCACTCTACGAAAATCATATTTTATTTCCTTTTTATTTGTTCCTCCACTTGGATGATCATTCGATGGAAGCGGGAGTGCCAATGGCAAGAACCTCGTCATTGACTGCCAATCGTTGATTTCAGTCGCCACTGGAAATCCAACCGTGGCTGAATGACGTCTCGGATATCAAACCCAATAGGCTCGAGTGACTCGACTCGAGTCGAGTCGAACGGGGTTTTTATCAGGTGGGATTGCCGAATACAGAGGCCGCTACGCCAGAGGACTATATCATTCAGGAATCTGTGCGCCGAATTTTATTTGAACTAGTTTGACTAAATCGTAAAACTAGTCTAGTTTCACGGTTACCTTCGATTAGGGGATTAACATCCCAGGAATGAGAAACACAATTTCATGACTGAGGAGATCAGTTTCGGGAGAGGGGGAGATGAAGCTGAATCGGTGCGCCACATCATTTTACTCACGCGCAAAGACTTCCGGCTGCTGATTGCGTTCGACGAAGCGGCGAAGCAATGATCCGCGGACGCTCGCTACGGACAGATGCTCCTAGCAGACAGTTATACAATGCATAAACAATGGTTATGCGTTGTAGAACCGCTGTAGGGAACCGACATCTACGAGGGAGATTGAGTCACAACAACTGCGGGGAACACAACCATCGAGATACACTGACGGAAGGACTTGTGCTGATAAGTCGGTTTTTCCTACGCCTCTGTGCAGCTCTTCTTACCGGCATCACCGTCATCACCACCATCATTAGCAGCATCATTAGCAGCATCATTAACAGCATCATTAGCAGCATCATTACCAGCATCAGTACCAGCATCTTTACCAACATACTCGAATATCAGTGGCCCGCACGTCAACAGCACTTTTATCAGCGTTTTCTGCTGCGATATAATAGATTTGTATGACGAATGAAGGCGATGACCTGAGAAACAAATACCTATTAAACTTCAGGTGTACAATGAAGTTACGCTCAGCGCCCAGGTGTTGGGGCTTATTGGAACGATCCTTTTGCCATTCCTCGCAAATGCAGCAGTACCAAGCGTTGTCACCAGCATCTTCGGCTGACATCACGAGTAGAACTAATCGCGAGACATGAGTTCCTTCCGGAGGATCACTTCATCACACCAGAACAAATTCACGCGTCATTCACGCGTCATCTGTGCTGAGCTGTCTCTGCATACAATCGACGGTCTCTACGCTACGGGCAGCGATAAGCCTGCCCATGAGGACTCGAGTTACTAATGGGAACAACCGAGGTACCATGGGTTGATCCTCTCCCTACTCGTCTTTTCTTTCACTCGCATATAACGTACCTTTGTGCTGGATTCAGCGTGTATGGAGTCATTGAAGACACAAAAGTGTCCTCAATCGTTGTCTTATAATTGTGATGTAGCTGTCTGATACGTTCAACTTGAACGTAGTACGTTCTGCGTGAGATCAGACGGTGATTCACTGTCAGATGGTTCGTCTGACGGTGTTTCGTTAACTCAAAGGATATTGGGAAACCGTCAAACCTCCACTATAACATCCGTGTCACGGTCACGTCACGTGGCACTTCAGTATTCTTTCCTGATCGCGTAACAACTATTCCGAACTCAGATGAACTAGACTTTTTGCTTCAAGAAAAGTTTACGGGCATATCTTTCTAAACTATTCGCAAAAATATCGTTCCGATTTATGCGAGAACCTCGGCGTATAGAGGAGTCATTTGATCGATCTGATGGCCCCCCACATCCGTAGTTAAGCCAGAATAATTTTGCACGCACACATGCACAACGCGGAACAACCGCAACGACAGGCACTTCCGCGGCGGAAGTAAAACCGACGCGAACCCGGAGTCCATATTTATTGAACATGGACTTATTCCCACCCGTAAACGTACTCGAACGCAAGTGCTCGGGAATAGAAGCTTCACTCATAGAGGCATGTCAAATGACACATAGTATATCAGTCCATTGGCCGTGATCCCCCTTACCCGACCCTGTATCATCCCGCTGACCATCGTACGGGTTAGATCCAAAATACTTGTGGTAACTACGACAAACGTTACTATATTCCAGCACAGCGATCGCTCTAGACAGAACCGAGCCGGCTTCGGAAGCTGGCCAGAACCTTCACTAATTTTCTACTACTCCCCGAAGGAAAGTTTCCGATAACTCTCGGAGAGAAAACTCTCGATCAATGCCTCTCATTTCAGCAGACAGTCGGACAATCTAAAATCAGCTCCACTCATAAGCAGCCAGCCCTTCTGAAGGGTCCCTTCACGTGAACCTCGATGCCGACCTCTCAATATCCCTCTTATCCTTGTCCAGTGGCGGTGGTGTGAACGCTGCACAATCGAAGCAGATATACCCAAACGAGTATATAAACTCGAGCATTGACGAACCTTCCAAACCTGACAATCATATACCAAATTCTCAATCGGTCCAGAAGCCCATACCACTCCCGAGTCGACTATAGCACACAGGAAAGAATGCTCAACCACGTAGCACTTCACCTTGATTGTTTTTCTTCATCAGCTGTGGACTGAACTCTAAGTGGAGCATATCCGGTGGATCTTCTCGCAATATACGTTCCGCTCCCCGCAAGACCTATGTACACCACAATTCATCGAATTCGGCCCAGTTCGAAACCAAAAGCGCACGCCCAACCTGATATTCATGGCCCTGAACATCAACCTTCAACAACGTGATATGTTCTTTGATCAACCCCGGTTCGTCCAGTCTATATGCCTACACTAAGCATATCATCGCCAGCTGAAATAAATCTAACCCTTACAGGAACGTCGATCGAATACTTATCAAAAAACTCCTGACTTCTCCACGGTGGAGGCGCCCCAACAGTATCTGCCATAGCGGTCGCCTATGGACACCGGCCATCCTCACCAACGTTGGAATTAGTCTCTAGCTACATCGGTTGAGCTCAGACGTTTCCTCACTACATCGTGGAAGTTTACACACAATAAAGTACAGGCTTCGAGGAACCGATAAAAATGCCCCTGAGCCTCCCAAGAATATGTATCGATCTCACATGTCATTTAATCATCATGAGAATATTCATTTCAGGGATTCTGCTCATGACAATTTACATTCCATTAACATACGCGTAGTTGACCACATGCATATTCCTCACACATCACCTCACCTTGCTGACTTGATATACAACCTTCCTTAGACTGCTGTTTCCAATGAGCGCATTCCAAATGCAGTTTCACCGTTCCTGAATTCAAGAAGACTGAAACTCTACAGCGTGGAGCAACCCGTTCTACAAACAAGTATTTTCGGGTTGACTTTTCCAATTCAAAGGTCAACTTTCGGCGCTTCTTCAACATGATAACAACGCGCACCATTGGAGACGTTTTGAAAGCGCTACAAAGTCAACTGTCGAAGGGCCCTCTCACAAGTTTATTACTATTTGAATCATAAGTCGACAATGTTACCGATCTATACCATAACATATGAATAACCCCATCCAGATTGATTTAGAAAAAGTGACAACCTCCCCCGCACCTACCAGTTTTATCGGTGATCGCTGCCTGATGGAACTCGACTATATTCTCCATACGGCGTTTCTTAATAGCCTTCATTATTCTACTCTTCTTAGCTGGCGTTGGCTCGAAAGTGTACACCTACCAGAAACACTATCAACATCAACTCACTCACCTCGACTCGCCTTCTTGGCATGTGTGAATTGCTTCAATTCTTCACCCAAATAGGATCCTACTTCTACTACTACTGCGTCCTTGTAGCTGCCAAGCGCAAACAATGGCGATTCACTGAAGCACTCTCCCGAACGATCTCTTCAAAAATTTACTTGAAAATAACAGCTCCATATATGAGCCAATTTCGGTTCTCCGAACCTCTCATTCTTCCAATAGGGTTTCTAGACGAATCAGTGGGTGACACATTGAATATACTTCCTTACCTATATACTATGTGTCGGTGACAAAATGGAAATTCTGGGAGGAAACTCTTACTAGTTCCTATGCATTTCTACTCGAATTTAGATGTGAACTTCTATAATCAGTGAGGAAACTGTATGTGAGCTGAGCTGAGGAGAGCGTACATATTTTCCAATACTGCCATTCCTGCGCTACGACCAATACATCAGCAGAGTCTTACTACCTATCGATCAATTTCCCCTTAGACTGACAGTCATAATTAGCGAGCCTCAGTAAGTCGAACATACGCATATGTCGTCTCTTTGAATCCACCAAACACTTCCCATCACTCCGACTGGCGTCATTCAACCCACCTTGAACACATACTCTACCAACGTGCCAAGAACAGGTAATGCCAGTATGAGAAAACATGCACAAGGTCAACTACGTGTGATAGTCATAAAATGAACACTCCGATAAAATTTTTGGAAATTTTTGTTGGTTTTTGTACATTTCTACCCGAGCTCGTATAAATGAGAATAACTTCCCAAAATTCCCTCGGGATTTTCATATTATCATCGACGCATATGGTTGACCATGTGCATATTCTCCCACACTAAGTAGTACCAAGTGTTTTAGCTTCCGCCAGTTCACGACGAAGATCTGCTATTAACTCGTCCTTGGCGCTATTCTCATCACCCTGAGGGGAATAAATATTAATCCTTGATCAAACGATGACACTGTGGGAAAACGAGCATATGGCCAACTAAGGAACGTATTTCTCCTCAGGCAGATTCTAACACACTATGGCAGAAACTAGGATACGGTACAGAAAAAGTGATGCGCTATCATATAGTAGAGTCAACCGATCATGACCACCACCGTTATTGTCATATGAGGTCGTTCTCATGTACGTTTATGTCAGAATATATTTAAAAAAATCACGGCCTTCCTACTTATCGAACTCTCTGCCGTGTAACACACTGTCCACCGGTTCATGCTGCAGGCTCAGGCAGTGACTGAGCCTACAGCTATACCCCTATACTAGCTATTACTCGCCTGCTCGAAGGAGTGCTGTGCAAGAAAAAGAAAAAAAGAAGATTGCTGTACACTTCTACCGTAAGTCGATTGTCTCAGCTTAGAAACCAAACATATATCACAACACTACCACCTCCATCTCAGCCTTCCTGTCACTACTACCCCTACCATCATTCGCCCGTATAAGAGTCTCACCACGTAGTGTACTGCCAGATGGTACAACTACAACCACAGGAAACATACCACACCACAGGGAACATCTCATTACCGTTAGGATGACTCCTCATGGTTGGCAATACGAGTTGAACTGCTTGCATGCACACTGCACCCATCACCGCTGCAGAGACCAGGCTCGCCTTCAAAACACGAGAATGTATCAATGATACATATTCGTATATATAATATTGGAATTTCACCACCCTAGTGATATGAAAAACACTAGTGAAAAACATATTTCACAACTACTGCATATCACCGCGAATATCGCGTTTTTCACCGAGTATTACGCCACTTCACGTAAAACGGGTCGTGAAA